TTGTTATTTACAATGGTTTCTGCTAACAAGATCATTCTTACTATGATCATTTCCTTAGGATCTTAGTGGGACATATGGCTTCAAAAAAATATCTCCATTTCACTCTTCTCTCTGAAATCCCCCGTAGCTAGGCTCACGATTGCTTGTAAGCTTTCGCCTTCTACTCACATGATCTTCTCCATGTCAATATCAAACTTAAACCCAACTCGTCGCCTTCTGTTCGGACTCTACTGGAGAGCATGCCTAGGGTAAAATGTTACTTAACGGTTTCCTCAGTGCATGTCCAACACATTTCCATTTACTTCTGCATGTTTGCTAGGTGGTAAGTTCTTGATTAGGTAGCTGTCAGAGTTCCGTTTTGCTTTTCCTATCCGTCTGGACATCTGATCTTCAGTATAGAGAGAAGGTGGCTGTTGATAACAGCCAGTTCGAAATGCTTTTCATGATATTCGAAATCCCTGTAGTAGGTCTCCAGACTGATTTAAGACTAATAAAGGTCTATCTCACCTTTCCCCCTCTGCTTTTGACTGACATGATTATCCGTGAGGTTTTTAGTTGAAAGCATGCTGACAAGTGAAAGAGTCAACCTCCTTTACATTTCTCTTGCTGATAGTGATTAGTTGTTGTTGCTGGTCAAACATCTTCATCAACTCTATCTTCTGTATGTTCATCTGAATCTCCTGTCTCCACTGTCTTCATCCTCTGCCAAGTTGTTGCTTTTCACCACCTGTAGATTTTTAAGTCTGTGTGTGACATTAGGCGTAAATCGTCCACGGAGTCTAAATCTTCTAAAGCCTTCATTTTTGGCGCAATGTATTTCTATCTTCTTGATACCCCTTACAGGAACATACAGTTTTTTTTCTTTAGACTTAATGAAAAAAAAACACATCTAGGTTAGAATAAGAATAATTAGTTTTCTGTTTTCGACAATTTTAATCCGGATTATTATCATTATTATTATTATCATTTAATTTTAACATGTTAGCATTATTTTATTCACATAAAATTAGACATCTAACATAATTAACACTGAGGTATTTTGTGTTAAAACAACCTAGTCAACAGGAAGCGTTACCTGCCATGAGTTTCCTATTTATTAGCTCTGAATAACGAGGTAAATTTGTAACACTGAAGAGAGATGAAAATGTATAAGCCATTATCACTGAGTTCTTCCGCCCGTTGACTTATAATCTTATTCAACTGCCTTTTTGTGCGCAAATTCATCAAGCTACCACATCCGTGTTGATTTTGTCATTTCATGGGGTGGGGAGGGGGTGTTGTAACCACGTCAAATTCTGTTTTAGTCCATCATTCAGACTATTCAGACAATTTGGATTCCACTTGATGACATGAAGTGCTTCTTGTTGATATGAGACGTTCTTTGTAATTTCTGAAATGCTTTTTCTTGATTATTTCAATATTGTCGAAAACAATTTTGTGGCCTGATTCTGTAGCGTGTAGACAGATCTATGGCTGATGATTTTTAAGGCTTTTCTACTTCAACTGGATTTATCAGTGGTCGGACAAAGTCGCGTCTAGTGTGTTCATTTCTTCTGATTTTGATTTCTATCTGGAGATGTTTGGCCGATGTTTATCGCTTCATATTCCAAACTTGCATTTTATTTTATAGACACAATTAGACGGAGAATCTTTTATGGATTTGGTCTTTTATATGGACAAGGTTGCTTTGAAGCGTGTCTGATATTTTGAAGAAAACTCTGATATCGAGCTTATTGAGTACTCTTCTGATATCGTCTGACGTCTCTGCTCTTTATGGAATGACAATTCTTGAGGCCCATGTTTTCGGAATACGTGTTTTTGATCGTACTTAATGTCAGTGTTGATTTTGCTGCTGAATTTCTTTGGGCAGCCTTCGCAGCCAGCCTCGTACATTGTGCGTACATTCCACTTCGCTATTCTTATTCCGGCTTTCATCGAGACAAGACACATCGGCTGACCAGCTCTCTGTGTCATTTTGCCTCTCTGATTCCGGCGAAGTTAAGATTATTATTTGAATTTTTGTATTTTTAATATATTTTCTGTGCGTTGAAGTTTCTCTAGCAGTTTGATAGATTTAGTGGTGTAGGGTTACTGGCCCCAGGCCCAACCCTTCCTCTTTACACGGGCTTGGGACCGGCTAGAAAACCAGTGAGCTAGTAAATTAGGCGAGGTTATGATTAACAAGCATAATCCTTTTGTTATCTTATAGACTGTGTAAAATGATCTTATTTCTAACAATCTTGTAAAGATAACTATATAATTACATATGGCAACCGTTTTTATTCTTATGATGAATTTCTACTCTACACAGTACTCAAAAGATGTGTTTTGAGAAAAAGTCGTATGACTAGCACAAATGTATGCATTTCTGATTGTAGAAAGTTTAGAAATCAAAGATTGATATGTTTTATAAACTTATGAACTTCTCCAATGCATACAAAATGTTATTTTAACTGAATAATTTCATTTGTTATTTTCACACAAAAAGAATATTTATTTATATGATTTAAATGCCTCATTACGGCTTAGTTATGAGAACTTTCAAATTTTAGATTCATACCTTTTTAGAGTGTATCTATGCTTGTCTAGCTGCTTCTTAAAAGAGTCGACAACATTTCTCTTGGAGGTTAGTTAGTTAGTTAATTAGTTAGTTGTAGGGGCCAAGGACACGATGCGAGAAGCAGTATTTTGGTGTGTGCTGCTGATAAGATTTGTAGTAGTATATGACGAGACAATCTTTGGCATAAAAACATCAAATAACCGGGAGATAGATTTGATATTCAGAAGAAGCAAATGATACAGCATTTCAGAGATACATGGGAGATGTGAAAGGAACACAAAGAAATACAGTGTGAAGGTCAGAAGTAGCACAACACGGAAGATCTGTGCAGATGGTATGCTGAAGATAAGATGTACATGATTTCACCTAGGCTACCATCTTTAACCGTTAACTGGACTGTAAAATAACATAACTTCCTGACTTTCAAACTCTCCTGTAATGTTGCGTGAGGGTTTTAGAGCTGATAGGTAGATATATCAAATCTATAGTCATTCTGTAGAGGTTTGAAGGTTATAATCAGATCTCTACTCGGTCTATATTATGAGTATCGTTATTAATGCACTATCAATGATATTATCTAATCATAAGAATTGGATATAAGTAATGGCGATTCACATGTTAAACCCTCAACTCTACATACAAAAGAAGTTCGTTCAGTAATTAAATCTACAATGCACCTGATCTGTCTAAACACGAAATATGCAATTTTTTGTTTTTGGTTTCTTAACTGTTTTATTTTTCTCGCTCGCCTCCTATTATATCTCTACTACCTATTACCACTGTTATTAACTTGACCATTGTTCAATTTTAGTTGAGTTACACTCAACGCCGTCAGCTGAATTCGGCCATTGCTACTCGATTAATGGTTTCTACATTATGTAATTTGTTATGCGATATTTACAGTTCTGATGAAAGATCTTTGGAAATATTCATTTTGTTGCGAAGAAATTTTACTGTATATATATATGCGGTTGTACATCTTCATATGATATCGCTGAAAATGGTAACTCTGCAGAATGCCTATTCTCTTTTACACTAATACGAAAATCCCCATTTATACCTTTTGGAAGACGAAGAAAGTCTGAGCAAACAATATTCTTTTCGATAACTTCCTCTTACATATACACCTAATAGCTAGAGAATACATGGAGGATTTCATCATGAGCTGACATCAGCTAGAGAACCACTGGAAAACCTGCAAGGAGTACTGGACAGCTGTTTCGTCCTAGTTTGGGGCTGTTCATCAGTACGCACCCACACTGCGGGATTCAAACCCAGGACCTTCTAGTTACAAGGCGAGCTCGTAGACCATTCAGCCACTGGGACCCAATCCAATGATCCTTGAATTCTATATTCTGCCAATTCACGACATAGTACGACCATTTCGCAATTTCTTCTTCGATGAGTTACTGTCTCATCTTCAGCTAGAGAATAATTTTCATTGTTATGCATAACTGTAGAACCCAAATGAGTAAGTTATCGAAGGGAATGCTCTACGCTCCTAGAGGTGTAACATTAATTCGAAAAAGTGCACTGCGGTGATGAATTTCTTTGACACTAATGACTGCATTGCAAGCTTGACTGACAGGATTCAGTCGGCAGGGCACCTACACTGACGATTATGTAAATGATTCTGATTATAGCCTAGTTACCAATTAAATGTGATATGATAAAAGCATATCTGAAGAATTTTATAGGCTTCAACATCTGTCCGTTTCTTTCTCTCTCTTTGACTAGAGGAATATTTGTCTTCTTATTGGCATGCTTTCAAGAGATTAGTACGTGGTTTTTATCATATTTGAACAAAGCAAGAACTACAGATTTAGCAGAATAAAATGGTACCATCATTGCTATTTCGTGGCCTTCTCGTCAGCTGCTTACAGGGCAAAGACATTATTAAATATATCTACAAAAACAATTTTAACATACTTGCACAGAGTTCATTTCAAACAAAAATCAGCCGATCAATATATGCGTGCAGCAATAATATATACAAATATATATGTAATATTAAACACTATTCCGAACAATAACCATCATACACAATGGAAACCTTTCAGCATTACGCATTTAGATGAAAGAGAGATGAAAATATCCAGTTACCAGGACAAAGAAAGATCGATAACCTCCTTTTTCTGGACGCATAAATCAGGTTTCAGGCGCTTGATGGAAATGGCTTCAGCAAACTTGAGGAGAATTGAGCTCTTTTGCCTATTGATAATTTTGAACAACTTTTTGACGTCCACCTCATGACCCCTGTCGAGGAGATGCCTGGCTATGGCACTGTTTAAAGCATTTTTTCTCTTTTTTATCATAATCATGCAAAGGATTACAGAGGTGTAAGCAAATGCTTGTTCGACTAAAGCGTATCTTTTTTTCATTATGGTTTTTAATTGACCGTTTCTAATAACACTCTTTTTTTGTCTTTGATTTCGTGTAGCCTGGATCCAATCAATGAAGACACTGAAATTGACCGATCCATGTTTGACAGAGGTGAGACTATAAAGAAAACTACTCAATCAATTTTTTTTCCAATGTTTGTATCTTGTCAATGATAGTGCAGTCAGAGTATGGCGAAACCATTTTACGCCAGTTGTGTATGTAGCGTACAACATGTGGTGTTTGCGCTAATCTGTATAGCTAACCTAGAATCTCAATGGAAATTAGATTCAAAAAATTAAGAGAGTTAATTATTGACAGTGTCAGAAACTTTATCAATAATTTACCTTCGTTACAAATAAATTTCTGTGTTTCCGAAAGATCAGAGAATTACAAACACTGTATCTGTTATGCATGTTAAACTGTTTGGGACTAGTCAGCTGGGGATGCACCCATAGGACTCACTGAGACTTGAAACGTGCACCCATTGTTGCGAACGCCAAGGCATTGTCCACTAAATCTCCGAGACGCGAGAACCGCCTCTTATCTGACAAGTGTCAGCTATTATTTGTCTGAGTCACTTTTATTTTAACGCTTGATTGACTGAACAGGAATGTTCAGGTTATGTTGACACGCTAGTCCTCGGTAAGGATGATTCGACGATATCTGACGATTAAGACGACGTCATTCGATGGATCGTGACGAAGTACGCACATCCTGGAATTCATCAAATGAAATCATGTGATTACAGGATTTCATCATGAGCTGACATTGGTTAGAAAACCATTAGAAAACCTGCCAGGGAGTACTGGACAGCCGTTTCGTCCTAGCTTGGGACTCTTCATCAGTACGCGCCCACCGGGGTTCGAATCCAGGAACTTCTGGTTACAAGGCGAGCTCGTAGACCATTAAGCCACTGAGACCTGATCCAATGACCAGTTTATGAATTCTAACTTCTACCAATTCACGATATAGCGCAACCGCTAGCCAATGTCTTCGGCGAGTATTTGTCCTCACACCCAACCTGCTGCACCCTACTGGTCACGACTTCCCACTGGAACCCCAGGTAACTACCTACCTGAATAGGGCCAGTCGCCAGTGACCATTTCATTGATATTGAAGTATTGGTTTGTAGGGATTCGGTTGAAATCATGTGAGTAGTAAGACATCGTCAAAGCATCCGTACTATTAGGCGACGTTTCAGCAGAGACCCTAACATCTCAGTCCAATCAATCAACCGGTAAAGACAAAAGATTAGAAATTCAGCATAAAACCAAAGCATGCAGCAACAAAGAAGCTATTTCCTAATATCTAACTTCAAAAGCATTCTCACTGTACAACAGAATAGTGTTGTTTGCTGTTCACGTGTTTAGCGATCAGATTGAGAAATAAGCTGACAGATTTTGATGAAGCCATTTAAAGCTGAACAAATACACTAGGCTGCCATCTGAAACTGCTTTCATATAAATACGATATATCTGAGATGTGACATATATATATTTGAAAGAAGAGAACACGAAGTTCAGCAAAGATGGTGATCTTTTGTTTGTTTATACTATTTTCAAAAGCTGTACAATCGCACTTGTTATACATAATTTTACATAGAACCAATTTTTACTTGATTCCACATAATTATGAAGGCGAAAAAAAGGGGACAATTATTTTCAACTAGATATGGTTTTTATGAGAGGCTTAGAAACAAAATTACACAAACTGGAAACAGTTTGCGTTACACAAAAAATGGGCATGAAAACAAATTAAAATAATAATTTTCAACTTGAAATGGAAGTTAGGAAGTGTGAATACAGATTACGAGAGCCTTAGAAACCAAAATTACACAGGATTGGGATATAATAGTTATTTTAAACGAATTATAAATGTGAACAGGAAAAGCATGGAAAAAAAATTTAAAATAACTGCTCTTATAACTGGAAAAATACGGGATAAATTGAATTTAGACATAGAGAAGAAGAATCACACATACAGCGAATGAATAAAAACGGCGGCTAAGGGAACATACCGAACTAGGACCATGGTAGTTGTAGAGGTTGAACTAATTTCTTTTGAACACACAGCTCCGGCTTTTCAATGCATATTGCGGGGGCTTCTGCAGTACAGAGAAGTCGGAAACACACTACTTGTGGTAAGTTTCCGTTGGCTTCGTAAATTACTTTGAATGGATCAGTTGAGATGTTGTGGGAGGTGTTGATCAAGAAATGTTCAATAATGGCACTTCTGATTGAACCGGTGTCTCCTTTTTCCAGCCATGCTGGGTAATCTTCTCTAACCCGTTTTGAAAGGACGCGCATACAACAATGCAATGTACCTAGCTCCGCACGAGCAGGTGAACTGGTATGTGCACATTGAATTGGTCGTATGCGAGAGTTCGTCCTTAGCTTTGTTTCGAAGTATTGGACGGCTAGAAAAAGTCACTCTTAGTGTTACTGTAGGGAAGGTTTTCTTTGAAGAGCTGGATATTCTTCTGTTCAGGATATCAGCTGCCAAATCTCCTCTGAAATTTAGATTCACATACAAAGTTTTCTTCCGCGCTGAAGACATATACGTATTTGATTGATTCCAAATCAGAGAAGAATGTACTAAGGCTAGAAGTACAGTGTCTTCTACTGAACAGTCTTTATAAAAAAGTGACGTCATAGTCAGTTGAATCTGATAGCTCAGTCGTTTCAGTGTTATATACTACTGATTCACTGGTGAGTAGTGTGACACCTCTGACATTAATTACTGTTGCTTACTAGTCAGCCAGATTCAAGTGGTCTAAATACCTGACAGCTGTTTCACCCGTCTTAAACCGAGCTTATCAGCAATCTGCTCAGATTACTTCAGCTGAGAGAACTGAATTCTGGACAGCTGCATGGGTAAACTGGTAACAGACTGTAAACTGTAAATTCAGAAGCCAGACTAGTAGTTCTCAGGTTACTGATCCTCATCCTGTTGTGGTCCAAATTTTGATCCAGCCTCCCAGCCATAACCCCCTACATCACAAGATGACTAAGTATAATACTCTACTGATATTATTGTTTATTAACATATTTACCTGGAAGTCTTCTGATTTACTAACAAGACCTAAGCCATAAATAACATGTGTCACCCTTATTATTATCATTATTATTATTTCTCTTTTATTTACACTGATCAAAAATATGTATAGATGAGAAACGTAAAGCCAATGAAACTGAAAACAATCAACCTGGAGATGAAACTGATGGCAACAATGAACATATAGATGAAAGTGTTGATGATAAAGATGCAAAAGATGCCTCGAATTCTCGACGTCATTCAGAGATGAGTTCAACAAAGAAAATAAAACCAATACCGAATGCATCTTCATTTTTCATCTTTAGTCCAACTAATCCGTAAGTATTGAAATTCACTTTTTGACTGTTGAGTGATTGATTGATTGCTACTGATATTAATAGTGAAATATTTTAGTGATCTCTTCTTCATTGATAGTGTTAGACACGGAGCTGCGTCCTAATTCATCAGCACCGGTCATTTATTATATTATTGTTGTTCCCTTGGGTTCCTAGTGGAACATAGGGCTTCAACTAAACGTCTCCACTTGCTTCTGTCTTCTGCTGTACTTTTCAACTGCATCCATGTTAGTCCATACTGTTTCAGTTCCTGTTCACACGATCTCCTCCATGTCACCCTTGCACCGACGAACCACTCGCCACTTCCCTTTCATGTTCCACTCGAGCGATGGCCTGACGCGCGATGTCACCCAGCGGCCTCCTCAGCGAGTGTCCAATCCATCTCCACCTTCTCCTGCATATTTGTTGAGCGATTGGTTCTTGTTTTGTTCGTTCCCATAGTTTCTTGTTGGTGATTCCTTCTGGCTATCTGATCTTCAGTATAGAACGAAGACAGCTGTTGATAAAGGTCTGCAACAGGCTGTTGGAAATATTCTTTGTGACCTGCCAAGTTTCTGATCCGTACGTATAGAAGAACTGACTTGGCGTTTATATTGAAAATCCGAATTTTGTTGTTGTTGAAGCTGAGTGACGAAGATTTTCAGATTGGTTTCAGGTTGATGAATGTGTTTCTCGCCTTCACGATTCTCGATTTGACATCCTCGTCCGTTCTTCCCGTAGTTGAGACAATAATCTCTTTTAGGAATACACCGGACTGATAAGAAGACTCTAGATGATCTGGATTTTGCCGATAACTTATGTTTAATGTTACACTAACTGAAAAACCTACAGGCAAGAGTGGGCAGTGAAGATAGGACTCTAGGTGAACATAAGGAGGATGGAGGTGATGAAGATAACCTACTAACAACAACAGCACCAGTCATCATCGATGGGAGAGATTTGACAGAAGTTACTTCCTTCACTTATCGAGCCAGGAAACATTGTTCCAAACACAGGCCGGCGGAACGGATGAAGATGTAAAAACCAGCCAGAATTGGAAAGGCAAGATACACTTTAATCAACCTGAAACCAGTTTGGAAATCTTCTGCACCCAGCCAGCCAACATAAAGAACAAAATTCAGATTTTCAACACAGATGTTCAGTCAGTCAGTCTGTTCTTGTATATGGGTCAGAAAAATTGAATTGTATGTCACGAAATGTATTTCCAACAAGTAACGGATATTTATCAACAGCTGCCGACTTCGCTGGCTCCATACTGAAGAATAGATGGCTAGCCGGCCAGAAAGAATAAGCAAAAAAATCTATGGTAACAGACCAACCAAGAGTCGATGGCTCAACAAATATGGGCATACTTTAAGGAGGCCATCGAATGACATCGCGTACAATGCAGGCCATGGCTCAAGTGGAATCCAAATGAGAATCGGCGATTGCGTTATCGGTGAAGAGGGCCACAGAGAAGAGAACAATGTGGAGATGTTTTGCTGAAGTCCTATGTTCCACTTGGAACCCAAAGGAACTTAGGTTTTGATTTTATAACCTGCTGAAAAGAATACACAGAGAGTAATAAAGGCGAATGGTTAGCTTTAATCCTCTTATCACTCTTCTATCGCAGATTAATTAACAAGCAATCCTAAATTATATTTTATTTGGTAAGCGTTCGCTACCCGTTAATTTCATGAACTCGTTAGCTAGACTTACCTACCTGCATCCCTATTGAATGATAGTGTACCGACTGGCACTAGAACCTAGCCAACACCTATCGCTTAAAATGCCAATTGTCTAATCCACCAGGCTACTACACCACAATAGTCACTTCTTTGTCGAAATTATTTTCAATTCCCTTACTGATTGATTGATTATATAAGATTAAAAATGTCTGTTTATTTGATATATCACACAGTGAAACAGTATTATTTACTGGATGACGACGCCTTTCGAACAAAATTTATTGTTCATAATCATATCAATTATAATCACACGACTTTGACACTTGAGTTTTATAGTTTTCTTTATTCTCTCCTATTTGTCGTCGTAGGGGTAGTAGAATTTTCCAGATTCCTGGCTGGACAGGTGTTGAATCATTCCTATTTGCAGTTGATTCGATTAACAAAGCTTCTGTTATCAATCTCTTCCTCCACCCTGTGACATTAGATTTAAAAACTGTCATTCTATCACATCTATCCTATTGTATGTTTGTGTGTAACTGCATGAACTAATACACATAAAAGAAGCCTTGAAACTAATAATTACCCGGAGAAATTAGTCAGAAAAATTATTGTAATGTAAAATAAAATAAATAATAATAGTAGCGATAGCGATAATAACAATAATAGTGATTATAATAATATTAGATGAGGACACCAACAATAAGGAATCTAAATTATCAGTAGTAATTCCATACGAGGAAAGAACCTCTGTGAGGCTTCTGAGGTTCTTTCCTCGTATGGAATTACTACTGATAATTTAGATTCCTTATTGTTGGTGTCCTCATTAATATTATTATAATCACTATTATTGTTATTATCGCTATCGCTACTATTATTATTTATTTTATTTTTACATTTCCTTACATATTTTCTGACTAATTTCTCCGGGTAATTATTAAGTTTCAAGGCTTCTTTTATGTGTATTAGTTCCTGCAGTTACACACAACGATTCAATAGGATAGATGTGATAGAATGACAGTTTTTAAATCTAATGTCACAGGGTGGAGGAAGAGATTGATAACAGAAGCTTTGTTAATCGAATCAACTGCAAATACATGTAATAGGAATGATTCAACACCTGTCCGCCCAGATATCTGGAAAATTCTACTACCCATCCGACGAAAAATAGGAGAGAACAAAGAAAGCTATAAAACTCAAGTGTCAAAGTCGTGTGGTCACAATTGATACGATTATGAACAATAAATTTTGTTCGGAAGGCGTCGTCATCCAGTAAATAATACTGTTTCACTGTGTCATATATCAAATAAACAAACTAATATGGAATTACTTACTACCACAGTGCCCAAATTTTACACATATATTAAAAATGTCTCCCTATTTAAATCAAACTTTTAAAATAAACTAAACAGGCAAACAGGTGCTTAATAATAATAATAGTGGGTTTTTTTCCCAAACAGCAAATAATTTTTATTAGTTCTTTGCTTTTTTTACACATGCACATCACATCTGAACTTATATTATTATTATTATATGTCTATTAGTGTAGGAGTTTGATCTTACAGCAATATAAATGACTGTGAGGCAGAATTATAGGCATATTCATAATCAAAGTTACATGTGGATGGGCGGAGTAAACAACACTGACAGACTTTATCCATCCAATGTATATATATATATATATACATTCATATATAAACGAAAACTAATCACATGATTTCATAAACTCAGTCAGTCTGTAACAAGGCAATAAAGTTATCAGTAAGTAAGGAAGTAAATGTATCTACCTTTAGGGCATACATTTCAATATCTTATTGGATTTTTGTAGACAATTCATTTTTTTTGGGGGGGGGGGGGAATGGCTTATGCGATGAAGATAATAATAATGATAATAATTTTTGCTTCATTTTGTATAATGTGTTGTTTATATACGGTAAGAAAGTATTGCCATCATGTTTTATTGAAAAGTATTCACTCTTTGGACAGGATCTTCAGGTAGACTAATTATCAACGGTAATAATAATAATAATAATCTACTTTATTCCAAAAACAGTACTTATAATACAGAATGGAATTCTCAGCATTTGTCACAATATTGCATCTGATTTACTTAAAGTGTATATAAAATTAAAAATTAAAACAAAAATTAATCGGAGGAATTTGTCCACATTAACGACATAATTATTAGATATAATAATAATAATAAATACTAATAACAGTGAGCTTGTTTCAAACAGTATTGTCGATTCAGTTTGGAAACTTTAGCATGTTATAGATTATTGGGTCTAATGTTCTGTTGATATAGTATAATAGTGAGGGGAAATACAAAATTAACAGTTATAATACAACCTAAAATTATGTCCACACTTATGAAAAATAAAATAAACAAAACGAAAAAATTGAGAGGATTATAAATATAAGAAATACGATAACAATAAAGAATGATGCTTTAAGGGTAAAGGAAATGGTTTATTTAGTAGCGCAAAGAAGGCTAGTTAGTCCATACCTAACACTGTTTTCATCACATAAAGTACGTGCTAAGTATAGTATAGTGGAATTTTTATACTTAGACGTACGTGCACAAATTCTTCTGAAAAGACTTCTTGTTTCACCTGAGAAGGAGATACAAGGTTGAAGCTGTGGGTAGAGTGGGTGCTTAGAGTCTGACAAAATTCCTTTAGCGAATTTGTTGCATGACATCAAGTGCCTATCAGTGACAATGCCAACGATATGGCCCAATGGGATACCACTCACCCAGCTGACTGACAGTGTTCAGAGTTCTACGAAGTATGACATAGTCTTTTTTAAGCAATTCAGGGGAAAGAATAAGGGTGAACAGTAAAGAAGAATAGGTAAAATACACGAGTTGATAAACTGTAAGAGGAGTGGTTGAGTTATGCCTGAATGCCTTAACTTCTTAATGTAAAAAGTCAAACGAAATATTCTTTTAGAAATCGCTAAGACATGAGAGGACCAGGATAGGTCAGAAGAGAGAATTAAACCAAGATACTTAACTTCAGACTTGGTTTCTATATCAGTATCATCAATTTTGCAAGGGTCATGTGTCGCAGTTTCTTTTCGATTTGAACCACGATTCAATCATCTGCTAGAGTCTGCATTCTCCACTTTGGCAAAATACACACCAGTGAATTGGAGACTATGTTAAAATGCATATAAGTACGGGTTATGATGCGCTAGAGGTTAAGTGGTGGTACACCATCACCCCCTCCCAACTATGATACAGCTCTTTCTGGCTTAGCATGCAGGCAGTACTGGGATAGATGCTCAGATATTCTAACTCATATTATCTTGGCGCAGCAGCGGTTCAAATGTAGCGTCACCCACGTTCAGTTCTTGGCTGATGCATTCCTTAACGTTGTTAAGCCAGGTAGTAAGCCCGGAAAAGAGGTGAGGGGGTGAGGGGGGGTAGGCGTCAGTCTAGTATTGCTATCCCGTAAAATGGAACACCACTGTCAATGAAACTTTAAATCATAAGTTTGAACCTGTATATCCCAGCCAAAAAGCTAAGGAATGAAAAAAGACGGGTTACGATTAGAAGATGTAATTGGCTTATTGAAGTAACAATGAAATGTTTGTCTAATAATAATAATAATAATTTTGCTTTATTCCAAAAACAGTAATAATGATACAGCAAGGAATTTTCAGCATTCAGTACAGTATTGCATCTAATTTACTCAAAAACGACAACAACAAACAGAAAAAAAAGATAAACGGAATAATTAATACATAATAATGATAACAAAACGTTTTTATAGGAGCTATGTAGCAATTATAGTATAGGATAAGGAGAAAAATATAAAATTATAGTAATAATAGTAATAACAACTAAAATAAAAATAGCAAAGTTGTTATAATTAAATGATAGAAAGGGTGACACCATAGAATTACAGAAAGATGAACAATGAAAGGGTCGATTCACTATGCTAATTACATAGTAACTTATATGTTTCACGTCTAACAGTGTCTTCATCACATAAAATACGGGCTAAATACGGTATTGTAGAATTTTTGTACTTAGTGGTACGAGCATATAATTTCTTATATTGACTTCTCGTTCTACCTGATGAGATACAAGGGGATAGTTGTGAATAAAGAGGGTGCAGAGGGTCTGACAGTACGGCCTTTGCCCGATTTGTACAGGAATTTACGTGTCTCTCGACTATAGTATTGGCGAGCTCACGCAGTGGCAAACCACAAGCCATACTCACAGCATTTAATACCCTTCGTAATATGACAGTCTTTTTTAAGAAGCCCAGGAAAGATTAGTGGAGAACAATAGAGTACAATAGGTAAAATATAGGAGTTTAAAAATTGCAGAACTAAAGGTTGGTTGATACCTTGTTGTCTTAACTTTTTAATGTAGAAGGTAAGACGAAACATTTTCTTAGAGATCAATAAAATGTGGGATGACCATGAAAGGTCAGAGGAAAGAACTAATCCAAAGTATTTAATGCTTGACTTGGTTTCAATTTCTGTGCCATCTATGCTACAGGCATCATGGGAACTAACTAGTTCATGTATGTCACGTCGATGCTTGAAGGTAAAGTTAACTGCCTGACATTTGGAAGGATTTAACATAAGACCATTTGACTTAGACCACATGCTGATGTCCAACAGAAAGCTATTAAGTTTGGAGCAGTCAGACTCAGAAGTGATAGGCAGTGATACAGCCAGATCATCAGCATATTTGACAAAATTGGTTTCGTTTAAATGTGGCAGGTCATGTAGGAAGAAAGAAAAAAGAAAGGGAGAGAGGACGGCACCTTGAGGAACACCGGCTTTTGTAAGCAAAGCAGAAGAAGATTTGCCATTATATGCAGTATACTGCATTCTATCAGAAAAATAAGAATGCAACCAACTCTTAGCCCAGGATGCTGTGTGCATCAAGGAGAGCTTATTTAATAAAAGGCCCCTAGGTACAGAGTCAAACGCAGATGTGTAGTCTAGGAAAGCACCACGAACATATTTGGCACCTTTGTCTAAACAAGAAACAACATTATGATATAAGACAACTGCAGCATCCAAGGTACTTCTACCATGTTTATATGCAAATTGCTTAGGGTCATTAAAAGCTTTCAATGAAGGTTCAAGACGAAGTAAAAGTAGTTTTTCCATCAATTTTAAAAAAGGAGAAGTAATTGCAATAGGCCTAAATTTACTATCGGTACCAGAAGATTGTTTTGGTATAGGGACAATTTTAATGTTTTTCCATGCAGAAGGTAGAACATTACTGGAAAAGGAAGCATTAAAAATATTAGTAAGAGAGTAACACAAAATATCAGCACAGTTCCTGAGGACAATGGCGGGTACGCCATCAGGACCAAGGCTTTGGGAAGGCTTAAGAGAACGGAGACATTTAAGCACATCAAGGGTATTAAAACCATTAAAATTATTGTCTATGTGATTTGTATCATTAGGAAGGATATCGTCAGAGGAGCGTATGAAAGACTTATTAAGATTATTAACATTAAGAGATTGGACAGAATTACACCGCTTACCGTTAGTTATTTCTTTAAAAAGTTTCCATAAACTAGAAGGGGTTTTACATGACAAGAATCTTTGGTTGTATAAAACATTTAGTCTGTGCATTTCGAGTTTTATCAGAGGATTTAGCTTTTTTACACCTGACTTATCATTTGTTTTGAACAACAGTTCTTTATCTCTACGGAGCTTTTTGATATATGGAGAAGAGAAACGGTCAAAACGAGTGAATAATGTTTCTTTAGGACAACATATTTCCAAACAGAATTTAAGATAATCTGTGGTGTTTGTGATTGTGTCATTTAATGTTTGTTCTGTAAATAGGTCCCAGTTAGTATCTATCAACGTCGGTGGCACAGTGGTTAGGACTCTCGCCGACCATGCACATGGTCCGGGGTTCAATCCCCTGCCGGCGCACACCCGATATCTATGGTATGCCTGAATTTGGGCAACCGATATCCATGCTGAAAATTCCACACTTGTACTGAAAATACGGTGTGGAATCAAGCTGTAAATCAAAAAAAAAACATGCATCTGAGTTTGCTTAGATTGTCTTGTGAGTAGCATCTCCGTTGAAATTTACTGTAGAGGTGAGAGAAGACACGTTTGTGTGATTTGGATGGAAAACAGAATAGATCATTATCAAGTGTTAGTTTGTAGGGGTTTGATTGGCTACAGGATTGATCACCATCTGACATCAGTTAGAGAACCACGGGTGAACCATCTGGGAGTACTGGACAGCTGTTTCGCCCTAGTTTGCAACTCTTCATCTGTGATGAAAATAATAAAACAGCAGAAACTGAAGCTAATGAGAAAATCTTATGTGTAATAATAGTGCTACAAATAAGTTGCTGTTTATTTGCACCCACGCCGAAAAAAGGAATGGTTGAAATTTTGCATTTAGCCTTACAAGCTTTAATTCTTACGAAATTTCTTCTGGTTCTACCCGAAGAGATATAAGGGGACAGATAAAAATAAAGAGGATGTTCACTATTCAACGAAATTACTTGCAAGAATTAAAATGTTAATCATGAACACAGTATCAGTTAGTTGACGGCGGTTGGTTGATCGTGACTAGCAATGGAATCCAGGATGGGCATTTCGTCCAATTTGGGACTCATCACTAGGTGTGCCTGTATTCACCTGTGAGTCATGGTGTTCCTACCGAGGCTCAAACCCAGAGCCCTTACTTTCATACACAAAAGCGTTATCCACTAGGCTACGAGAGCTAGCTAGGTACAGAGAAATGCAGGTACATCTAGGTGAGGAATCTGTAATCGGACAAATTGTACATCCTGGATTCCACTGCTAGTCACCATATACCAAATGACTTCAGGTTACATGAGCAGTCATCGTCGAAGCATCTGTATAAACCGAGTACTTAGGTCCAATCAGCAGTCGATGGGAAAAGTCTAAATTGAATTAAATAAGCGAGTTAGTTGATTTAAAGCCAAACCACTAACCCTAGTTTACCGCCTTCAAAGCCCTATGCAATATAATACAGTCCTTTTTAAAAAGCCCAGAAAAAGATAAGGGGGAACAATACAGAAGGGTGGGTGGAATTCATGAATGACTAAATTGTAAGAGAAGAATTTGAGTTGGGTCAGAGATTTTCAACTTCTTTATATAATAGGCCACACGAATGATTTTCTTAGGCATCAGCAAGATTTTAGACGACTAAGAAAACCTGAAGTAGAAATCGATACTACAGCAGGTAATATTCGATTTATTTCCTACTACATTGCTGCCGATATTACAAAAATCACAAGAGTGAATCAGTTCACGCAAGTCTTCTTCACACTGGAGACTAAAATTCAACACTCCGACAATGAGCACGACCACTGGTTAATCTCATAATAGGATTTCATCATGAGCTGACGTCAGTTAGAGAACCACTGGAAAACTTGACAGTACTGGATAGCTGTTTCTTCCTAGTTTGTGACTCTTCATCAGTACGCAGCCGGGTTCGAACCCAGGACCTTCTGGTTAAAAGGCGAGCTCGTAGACCATTGAGCCACTGGGACCCGACCAAATGGCACGTCCACGAATTCTAACTTCTGCCAATTCACGACATAGCGCGACCATTTCGCAATGTCTTCTTCGATGAGTTACTGCCTCATCTTCAACTTGCTGTACCCTACTGGTCATGGTTTCTCACTAGTACCCCAGGTTAACTGCCTGTATAGGGCCCCAGTGGCTCAATGATCTATGAGCTCGCCTTGTAACCAGAAGGTCCTGGATTCAAACCCCGGCGGGTGCATATTGCTGAATAGTCTCAAACTAGGACGAAACAGCTGTGCAGTACTCTCAGATGGTTTTCCAGTGGTTCTCTAACTGATGTCGGCTCATGATGAAATCCTACATGCAATCAAACTAAATCCCTATAAAACCAATGCTTGAAAATCTCATAATAATTGTGAACTCATTCAGATTTCAAAATACCTTACGTTATGCTTTGTAATTTTCTAATCGTTTGTTTTCTTGCCGTTATTCTGTTTTTTTTCTTCTTTTTGTTACAATTCTTTTCTTAAAAAAAATCAGATTTCGTGTAGCCTGCCATGAAGTTTGCAATCATAATTATTTCAATAATATTGTCCTTGTATGCATATTGGTCAGTAGTGCTATGCTTGCAGCCGAAGACCCGTTAGACGCTTCATCTGCACGTAATCAGGTAAGTCGCTGGGTACTTTTCCTTCCTCCAAAACATTCAGCAGCACTGGCATCAGCATATCCGTTGTGACCGGTGGATAACATTTCACTGATTCCGATCTAGTCCTGCTGCCTTCGCAGACTTCAGCAACTTGATTGCATTCAAGAACTCTGATTTTGTTGCAGGATACGTGTCCAATGGCAGTTTTATGCCTGTTGTTGCTGTCGTTTGTATTTCTAGATCACATATACATCAGGAACCAAAATAACTACTGAAATGCTTTTTTCACTTTAACCAAAAAGAGGACAGAAAAATGAAACAAATACACAATACTACTCACTCGATTTTGCCAGTAGTGTTTCCCTCTTAATCCATCAAATAAAAATATCTTGAAAATAATTTACTACACTGATAGACACGCCAGAAAAAATATCAGTAGTACCAACATGAAGCACATAGAAGACCTGGATTTTGCCGATGGCTTGTGTTTGATGTCACACAAAATCGAAGGCTTACCAGCGAAAACCGAAAAACTGGTCAAAGAATCAGCAAAGACAGGACTCCAGGTGAACATAGACAAGACGGAGGTTATGAAAATAACCAACAAACAACAACAACGGCAGCAGCAACATCAGCAACAGCTGTCTTCGCTCTGTACTGAAGATCAGATGGCCGGAAAGAATCACCAACAAGAAACTATGAGAAACAACAAAACCAGAACCAATCGCTCAACAAATATGCAGGAGAAAGTGGAGATGGATTGGACACTCGCTGAGGAGGTCGCTGGGTGACATCGCGCGTCAGACCAACGCTCGAGTGGAACCCGAAAGGGAAGCGGCGAGTGGGACCTTAGTGCAAGGGTGACATGGAGGAGGTCGTGTGAAGAGAAGTTGAACCAGTATGGACTAACATGGATGCAGGTGAAAAGTACAGTAGAAGACAGAAGGAAGTGGAGACGTGCAGTTGAAGCCCTACGTTCCACTAGGAACTCAAGGGAACAATAATAATAATAATTGCGTAGTAAATTTTACGTAAGCTGACATAGTAGAACTGACCCTTTATCGTCTTATAAATGATGAAGCTGTGATAGAGATTGTAAGCTACAATCCCTTACAGGAGTTCAACTTCCTACTGACACTTATACTACTCATGATATGGTCTGAGTAGTATTCACAGTCACGTTTCTTTTGGTGGAGAAGCCTCTGAAAAGTAAAACACCTGAAGAAGAAGAAGACTACAACTGTGATGCAAAATCTAATTAACAACTGACAACCCAATACAAAACACGTCTGATACCTGAATCATGGATGAATAAAACCCAATTTAGAAAGAATATGAAATCAATTTTAAGATTTATGATTTATCTAAATGTCAATTGCATTTGGGTTGTGTGCTTTTTTCTGCAAATAAAAATATTACATTCTACCTACATAAATCTTATCCTGCATTGCCATAATAATAATAATAATCATTACTCTGTCTCGTGGGTGTATTTCAATTATGAGATTTTAGCTAATTGTTATGCATTGGTTTGTTGCTGTTGTCGTTTTCCCAGAGGAACCACTGCTTACCTAGTTATGTGATTTTTCACTTTGTTGTACTTTCTGTGTCCTGCTGTTGTTGTTTCTTTCCTGTGAGATAAGTTTATGTGTAGAGCGAGTGATACAGTAGTATAAATACTACTAACCGGATGACGTTTATTTGGAGTAGTGATTATTGCTCATTATTATTATTATTTCCTTTAATTCCTAGAGGAACATAGGGCTTCAGCCGTGCGTCTCCATTGCGTTCGGTTCTCTGCTAGAGTTTTCATCTGGCTCCAAGTCTGCCCACACGTTTTCATCTCCTCTTCACATGATCTCCTCCAATTCACCCTTGCACTGACGACCAACTCGTCGCTTCCCTTTCGGGTTCCACTCGAACAATGGCTTGTCTAGTGATGTCACTTGATGCATTGTTTCCTCAGAGTATGGCCAATCCATCTCCATTTCTTCGTGCCTATTTGTTTCACAATCAGTTCCTGGTTGGTTCGCTCCCAGAGATCTTTGTTGCTGATCCTTTCCGGCCATCTGATTTTGAGTATTGAGCGAAGACATCTGTTAATGAAGGTCTGTAGCTTGTTTGAGGTGCTCTTTGTGACACGCCAAGTCTCTGATCCGTATAGTAGTACTGACTGACTTCACATTGGAGTTGAAAATCCGGATCTTATTTTTGACGCTGAATGCTGTTGACCTCCACACAGACTTGAGAGTAATGAAAGCTTGCCTTGCTTTCCCGATCCGTGCTTTGATATCCTCGTCAGTTCCGCCTGTAGTTGAAACAATGCTTCCTAGGCAGGTAGGTAAAAGAGGTTGTTTCTTTCAGGTTCCTTCCATTTATGCTGATTGCTGTCTGTTGTTGTTGCTGTGGCTGTTGGTGTTGGCCAGGAATCTTCATCACCTCCGTATTCTCTATGTTCACCTGGAGTCCTATCTTTGATGCTTCTTCTGCCAACTTGTTACTTTTCACTTGCATATCTTCGAGTTTGTGGGAAATCAGACATATATCATCGGCGAAGTCCAGGTCCTCCAAGTCGTTTTTGTGTGAGTCCATTTTATGCCTGTTTCCTCATTGCCCACTGTCTGTCGCATTATCCAATCTACTGCAATCAGGAAAATCATTGGCGATAGTAGGCAACCCTGTCTTACTCCTGTCTTCACTTCGAAGGATTCCGTGAGCTTCCCGTTGTGGATTACTTGGCATGCAGCGTTGTCATACAACTGTTAGATGAGATGTATATTGCTCATACTATAATCTTATATATCAATCAGTGTATTTACATGATTTCCTAACCCCTAATCTCTCTCTGTCTCTTGTATTTCAATCCTATTTTCCATGTATACATAACTTGCCTGACGTCATTCCTAGGCAATTACGATGCATGCACTTGTATGTAATCACGCAACGAGATGGGGGCGTGAAGGGTGTGGGTAGGAGTTGGCGGTGAGGGATAGAGTGAAAGTATTGAAAGGCGATATGTATTAGATGAAGGGATAGGTTATTAACTGAATCTATCTATCTATCGATCTATGTTTTATTGAATTAATCTAGAATATATGTAGTAGGGATGACGCAACAACTATACCAGATATATGAATAGTTAGTTGTATTAGATAGAAACTGTTTGAAGCAAGTCACAAAGTCATGGGAATATACTAATATATGAAATTGTGAGCAATAAATTGTACTGGAAACATATTTTTTGATTGAACACGAGCTGGTAACTAGTAGCATGCGTGTAGTCACTTTGTTTGACAACATGATGGTGAGCCACCTGAAATGTTGACCATATTCTAAAGTTGACTGATAGAATCCAGTTTGTACCAACTCAAGAACTAGAAGCGTCCAATCAAAGTTTCCAATAGAGTCACCCACAGGAGGTCAATCGCGAGTCTTAACAGCTCAGTGGTTGCGTCTGTGAATGCAGAACTCTGAGTGACACGGGTTCGAATCTCGGAAAGGACCTTAGTTCCTTCAAGATTGCAGATATGCCTTGCTGACTGGTCATTGTCAATAATAATAATAATTATTATTGTTCCCTTGGGTTCCTAGTGAAACATAGGGCTTCAACTACACGTCTCCACTTACTTCTGTCTTCTGCTGTACTTTTCAGTTGCATCCATGTTAGTCCATACCCTTTCAGCTCCTCATCACACGATCTCCTCCATGTTACCCTTGCACTGACGTCCCACTCGCCACTTCCCTTTCGGGTTCCACTCGAGCGATGGCCTGACGCGCGATGTCACCCAGTGGCTTCCTCAGCGACTGTCCAATCCATCTCCACTTTCTTTTGCATATTTGTTGTTTTGTTTGTTCCCATAGATTCTTGTTGGTGATTCTTTCCGGCGGCCATCTGATCTTGAGTATAGAACGAAGACAATTGTTGATAAAGGTCTGCAGTGGCCTGTTGGAAATATTCTTTGTGACATACCAAGTTTCTGATCGCCTAGATTACTAGCTCGCTAGTTTTCTAGCCTGTCCCAAGCTCGGATAAAGAGGGAGAGTTGGGGCGTGTTGTTAGCAAATCGACCCTCAAAACTTAACCAAATTGCTACAGAAACTTCAGAGCATAAATATATTAAAAATACTAAAAATATCAACATTGTCAATAAGCACGGAACTTAAATGGGGGGCTTCCTGCTGATCACCTCCAGCCATCGAATAACTGGAAACGTTACCCAGCTATTAAGACACTGTATCACTTACTGTATGTTTTATCAAATAAACTTATCTAATACCACTGAATTACATTCTACAGCACAGTGACCAAATCCTGCCTACCCTTACAACAGAAATGTTTCATATCATTTTGTGTTTTTTTCTTTTTCTTTTTAACAGATTTTGAACTACTTCGATTACTTTTTCACATCAGTCTTCACGGTAGAAATCACCTTGAAGGTTAGTTAAATTGATATTAGTAGATGGGAATTCCTGATGACATGTTTTTCTTATGATAACTATTTGAGTGTTGATAAAATAGTAGTTGAAGAAACAACCAAAAGATGTGAACAAAGAAAGAAGAAACATTGGCGCGCAGAATAATCTGGATCCGTTTTATTTCGTCGCTTCTCATCAGCTGCGTACAGCCTGAATTATTTAATAAAATAAAAATAAAAAGTGTACAATTTTAACAAACTTTTATCCATTAGCGAGCATATTGTCAGAGCGTCATAGTGAAATAAGGCACTGCCAATTACAAGGTGTCTAAAGTGTTACGAAATTACAGGATTTTCATCATGAGCTGATATTAGTTAGAGAACCACTGGAAAAACCTGAGAGTACTGGACAGCCGTTTCCCTCGTCCTAGTTTGGGACTCTTCATCAGTACGCACCCACCGCCAGGGTTCAAATCGAGGACCTTCTGGTTACAAGGCTAGCGAGCTCGTATACCATTAAGCCACTGGGACCTGATCATATGGCCAGCTCATGAATTCTAACTTATGCCAATTCACGACATAGCGCGACCCCTAGCCAATGTCTTCGGCGAGTATTTGTCCTCACACCCGACCTGCTGCACCCTACTGGTCACGACTTCTCGCTGGAACCCCAGGTAACTACCTACCTGAATAGGGCAAGTCGCTAGTGAGCGGTTGTGCTGTTGGGGTTGTAACAAAAGACAACGAGTAATGGTTACGTAATTAGATAAGAGATCAAAATTTCGGTGAACAAGAGGTCAGATGAGAAGTTGACAATGTAATGCGGTGAGCAGAACTCAAAAGATCAAGAAGAATTATCTACTGAGAGAGTCAAGCGAAAAATAAAGGGGGGATGAAAAGATAAATTAACAAAATTATAAAAAAAAACAGTTACTAAGATGTGAGTCACCTGGGTAATTGAAGTCCAACAACGGATTCTTTTTGGACACATTATTCAGGCTTCAATAGTTTTATTGCTACAGCTTCAGAAAACCTGAGAAGACTTATGGTACTTTGTCTGTTAATTATTTTTAATGATTCCAGCACATCTACTCGGTGTCCTGTGTCAATCAGGTGTTTGGCGATTGAAGAGCTTAAACAATTCGGTCCCTTTAACCGGAGGCTCATTGGTACATGTTCGCAGAATCTGACGTAGGCCTTCCTCTCTGTTCTCCCAATGTAACTGCTCCCGCATATACATGTGAATTGGTATACACAGTCGGAGGTAACATGTGAGGGGTGCTTGTCAATCTTTGACTGGATCAAGAAATTTCTCTCTAACAAGAAATATATATATGTCATAAAACTTTAGACACCTTGTAATTCGCAACGCCTTATTTCACTATGACGCTCTGACAATATGCTCGCTAATGGATAAAAGTTTGTTAAAATTGTACACTTTTTATTTTTTTTTCTTAAATAATTCAGGCTGTACGCAGCTGATGAGAAGCGACGAAATAAAACGGATCCAGATTATTCTGCGCGCCAATGTTTCTTCTTTTTTTATTCAAATTTATAAAAGGGAATCATTGTATGAAACCAAAAGATGATTGAATTTTCTATATCAGTCTTATTTTATTCCTAGAAAATTCAGGAGTAGACAGTGGTAGAATATAACAGGAGACGACTCAACCTTATCTTAGGATTGCATTCTTCAAGATGAGCATTTCGGTGAACTTGGTATAATATTTTTGAGTATACCACGTTATCACACAAAATCGAAGACTTACAAGCGAAAACCGACAAACTGGTCGAAGAAGCAACAAAGACAGGACTCCAGGTGAACATAGACAAGACGGAGGTTATGAAAACAACCAACCAACCAACAGTAACAACAGCAGCAGCAACATCCAGCACCAATCACCATCAACGGGAGGGATTGGAAAGAGGTTACTTCATTCACTTATCTAGGGAGCATTGTCTCAAATACAGGAGGAACAGACAAGGACGTCAAATCGAGAATCGGGGAGGTGAGAAACACATTCATCAACCTGAAACTAATCTCGAAATCTTCGTCACTCAGCAACACTCAACAACAAAATTCGGATTTTCAATACAAACGTCAAGTCAGTCAGTTCTTCTATACGTACGGATCAGAAACTTGACGGGTCACCAAGAATATTTTCAACAGCCTGTTGCAGACCTTTATCAACAGCTGTCTTCGTTCTATACTGAAGATCAGATGGCCGTAAAGAACAAGAACCAACAAGAAACTATGGGAACGAACAAAACCAGAACCAATCGCTGGACAAATATGCAAAAGAAAGTGGAGATGGATTGAACACTCGCTGAGGAGACCGCTGGGTGACATCGTGCGTCAGGCCATTGCTCAAGTGGAACCCGAAAGGGAAGTGGCGAGTGGGACCCCCAATAGTGACATGGAGGTGATCGTGTGAAGAGGAACTGAAACAGTATGGATTAACATGGATGCAGGGTAAAGGTACGGCAGAAGACAGAAGCAAGTGGAGACATGTAGTTGAAGCCGTATTTTACACTAGGAACCCAAGGGAACAATAATATATATATATATAATACCACAGTGTGGTTGTACTCTTCTAATTCATCATTTGCAAATTGTGCACTTTTAAGGCAAGAAGTCAATATAGTTTCCCATGAAAACCAAAAGTATTCAATTCCTGGACTTTGTGCATGGTTGGCGAGTACTCATCCACTGAACCATAGACAGTAATCGATCCGAAAGGATCTAAACAAATAGTGGCTGTTTCCTTCATTTAAGCTCCTGCTCATTAACAATGTATCCAGATTGAATCAACTGAGCTCAACTCATCTCAACTAATAAAATCACCTCAGAGACAAATTCCAAAAGAAGTTATATATCTGTACCGTCAAGTAGTTTCAAATGTCACCGAAATACTTAAATACTCTTTGAATTTCCAATAAGAACTTTTTAAAATACATATTTCACTTACATTGACGAATTAATAAAGATGCTATTTGAGACATTTAAATGCTGTAATTGTGACAAGTGTGTTTCTAGTTCATTTCGTCACGTGACCTAAGAAACAATTTCACTCTCTATCACAGTGACATCTAGATTTGACACAGGTTCCCACTTCTATGTACTTCAAGTGGTAGCAAGGCCATCAGCCGTATCACCGTCTTTCATTTTAAATGTTTAATTTGTTCAAATCTATTTTGTTTTGCGAGATTGCTGCCTGGAAGTTCCTTGGAAAGACGTTTTTGTCTGCTGAATATCATGACTAGTATCTGCATGCTTGCCTTGTATTCCTCATCTCTGTGTTTTTTGTTCGATTTATACATTAGCGTGACTGTTTCTAAATCATCCGTTTTCTATTCTTATTTCGGATGACACAAAGGTATTTGGTGACAGATTTATTCATTAGGTTGAAAATTATGAACTGGTCTTGTAACCTAAAGGTCCCGGGTTCGATCTCCGGTGGAGTCATCGGTACTCACTTCTGAAGGATACTAAACTCGGACGAAACAGCCGTCCTGTTCTCAGTGCTGTTCACTGGTTATATAGCTCATATTAATTCTTAACAGAGGTTCACGTTGGCTCAAATGTTTACTGTTTCTTCTCATCTGGTTCTCCACATTTGAGCTTAATTTTCGTGAGCAAACTGACAACTGTAACACATCTCATCACAAGATGGTCTTGTCGTAATACATAGAGACTCAAATACCAACGAAGAACTCTGTGGATAGCCATAGTATGCATATTACCATAGCGAAGATTTGCTTTAGCTTTATCACATTCGTGTAGACCCAGATCATTCACTTATGCACTCAGTAGGTTATCCCCGGATTCGAGTCCTGCAAAGGCTAATTCAGCCCGACCATTTGAGTAGCTACATCAGACATCAGACGTTAAGAGTGTGGCTCATAGCCTACAACACAAATTTCAAATGACAGCAACAACAACAACAACAGCAGCGTCAAACTGAATCTTCATCTGTCGACTTGGTTTGCTTCACACAAACCCACATACACATACACACATCCATGCTGGAAACTTCAGGCATCCCGGTGGGTGCGTGCCGTTGAAGATTCCTCAACTAGGACGAAATGGCTTTCCAGTACCCCCAGGTTTTTCAATGGTTCTCTAACCGATGTCAGCTCATGATGAAATCCTGTAACCTTCAGAAATTCTTAGACTAAATTTACCCCTTTTTGCATAAATATTTAACCCACATAGTATGTTGTAAGTAATGCATTTTTGTCTATAAGTTATTTTTCATTAAACTGTATGCTATAATATCTATATATATATATATATGTGTATGTATTATAATCCTTCTCTATTAGATAATCACCTATGGTTTGGTATTACATAAGGGTGCATTTTGTCGAAGTGCAAATAATATGCTAGACTTTATGGTAGTCCTTACCTCGATTATCTCTTATCCAATTGAGTAAGTCATGTATTAGGTGTTGTGTATAATAATAACATAAATAGATACAATAGTAAAAATGGTAGAATTAAATAAGTGTTGTTATCTGTATTAATATAAAAATCTGTACATATATATGTGTATATAATTGTTGTCTATAATTTCATGTTGTACTATATTTTGATGTCCATGTGTAGGTGTGTAGGTGTGTGTGTTTGTAAATAATAGAGAAGATTTGTAGCTCAGGTGGATGATTTGCAATTAATAGTGTTCTCTGAGTTGGTTGGTTTAATTGTGGAGCTTTCGTCGTCCTTCTGGGCAACATCTTCAGCGCAATATTTAGCACAAAGTGAAATGATTTAAATTGATTCATGAGAATTTAAGTTTCTTCAACAGGAAACCATCATCTAAGACCACAAGAAAATTCATTCTACCATACATGAGAAATATCTGTGAAATAACAGCTAGAATACTGAAACCGTTTGATATAGATATAGCGCACAAGCCAACCAGCACAATCACTTAATTCGATATGATGCAAACAGAAAGATCCAACAGAAAAAGGAGATAAAATTAATTAATACCACTTACAAAATAAATTGCATGCATGAACTGTAACAGGCATTACATCGGCCAAATTGGGCGTCCCCTTCAAATCAGAATCCAGGAACACAAATCAGCCGTGAAAAGACACGATATATATATTGTTTCATATCAATGCATATAGATAATTATGGTCATCAGTTTGATTGGAATAATATCGAGATCTTAGACAGAGGAAACACCAAAAGTGCAGTCGGGAATTCCTAGAAGCCTGTTACTCAAATGAATATGCAATTAACAAACACGTTAATATAGACGAAATATGCCAAATAATAAAAAGGTAAATCAAGTGACCAGAAATTTTAAAATCCAAGTCAATAGAAAAATGATCAATGTATATGTAAAGATGGTTACCAGGAGACGCAATTCTATATCTCATGAATAAATTTAAATCATTTCACTTTGTGCTAAATATTGCGCTGAAGATGTTGTCCAAAAGGACGACGAAAGCTCCGCAACTAAACCAACCAACTCAGAGAACACTATTAATTGTGTGTTTGTATGTTAATGTAGACCACTTAGTCTGTTTAATAAGTTAGCAGTTGCATTTGTAAAGATTTTAGAAGGTATGATTCTGATTAGCTTGAAGACGGAAAGCTCAATAAAGTCTTTGAAGTGAAGACATGAGTAAGACAAGTCTGTCTACTATCACCGATGGCATTTCTGATTGTCATGGATTAGATCAGACTACAGATAGTCTGAAGCGGAAGGATACTGGGTGATCTAGACTTTGCAGATAATAATAATAATAATTTGCTGTATTCCAAAACAGTACTTGTGATACAGAATGGAATTCTCAGCATTTTTACTGCAGTATTGCATCCAGTTAGTACATTATCAATAAATAGAATTCTACATAGATTGAGGAAACCAACAGTTCATTATTACAACAATAAATTGGCATGTCAGTAGCAAAGGTAAAGCTGAAACAGTGTTTGAAGGTGTTAGAAAAGTGGGAGCTGTCTTATTAACAGGCGTAAGCGAGAGAAAGAGACAAAGCAGCACATAACGGAAAAAGAAGAGAGAGAAAAGGAAAAGATTTACGCTTAATGCCACACAAGGTCGAAGGTCTACAGGCAGAAGAAGCAGCCAACACAGGACTTCAGTTACACATAGACAAAACAAGGGGATGGAGATACCCAACATCCAACAACCACAACATCTGAAGGAAGTCACGTCTTTCTTTTACCTAGACAGTATGGTTTCCACACTAGGCGGCAGAGATGAGGATGTCGAAGCCAAACAGAATCAGAAAGGCACCATAGGCCTTCATTATTCTGAAATTAGCGTTGAAACCTTCTGAATGGGTGACTCGATACTGAAGATTAGATGGATTGTTATAAAGGAAAATCAAAGAACAAGGAACTCTGGCAGTAAACTAGTCACTAGGCTATTGTAAAATAAATGTGCAGACGGAAAGGAAGATGTGTTGGACACACACACACAAGCACATGCACACACACTGTGAAAAGCGTTTAGTGAAATCACATTCCAGGCTGTCAACTGCAACCCTAAAGGGAAATGACAAGTCGGGCGTGTATCCAAGAGTAACACTGAAGAGATCATATGAGAAGGAGAGGAGAGCTAATGGGCAATCATAGAGTCAGATAACGAAGACTTCTGAGAAGAGAGTGAAATGGAGACGTGCTGTTGATTTTCTATGTTCCATTCTGAACTCAACTGGTGAAATCCATGTCGCCTTGTGTATATCCTTGTGTTTGAATACACTGCCACCAATCACCAAATCATTGAAGGTGCAGAAGTCTGAGAAGAGTTCACTATTGTCGTTCATTTCACCGAGGGCCTCACGACTCATCGTGAGTTCTCTTCCTGTATAGTCTCGTCCCAGTTTCGCATTCATATCACCCATCAGGATTTTGATATCGCTCTTTGGGACGTTGTCCATTACTGTTTGTAGTTGTCTGTAGAAATCTTCCTCCTTCTCTTGTTCTGAGACGTTTGTAAGCGCATAGCATTGAATGATTGTAACCTACCTTCCTTTTGAGTTGAACCTAGCTATCATTATTCTGGAGGAGATTGGTTCCCACTGCATGAGAGCTTTGGCTGCTGTTGGTGACATCATGATGGCCAATCCGTCGTTGTATTCGTGGTTGTCCTCTGGGTGACCAGAATAGATTACTGTCTCTCCAGTTGATAGTTGGCACCTTCCACATCCGCTGCATCTGCTCTCGCAGATTCCCAACACTTCTATTCCATAACTTCTCATTTCTGCGGCTACCTGGGCAGCCTTTCCAGCTTCCTACATTGTACGAACATTCCACGTCCCCATCCTTATTTTTGCTTTCATCGAAAGGAGGCACATCGGCTGACTGGCTTCCCGAAGGCTTTCACCAGCCTGCGTCATTTCACTTCCCCGATTCCAGCGAAAAATAAGGTTATTGTTGATATTTTTAATATATTTATGCTCTGAAGTTTCTGTAGCGATTTGGTTAAGTTTTCGGGGTGTAGTTGCTAGCACCACGCCCCAATCCTCCCTCTTTATCCGAACTTGAGGCCGGCTTGAAAACTAGAGAACTAGTAATCTAGGCGAGGTTAATGGAACATAGAAAATCAAAAACACATCTCCATTTCACTCTCTTCTCCGAAGTCCTCGTTATCTAACTCTATGATTGCCCATTAGTTGGGCGAAGAACCGATCGCCCAACAAATATGCAGGAAAAGGTGGAGATGGATTGGACACTCGCTGAGGAGGCCGCGCAACAGGCCAGTGCTCGAGTGGAACTCGAAAGGGAAGCGGCGAGTGGGACGTCAGTGCACGGGTTACATGGAGGAGATCGTGTGGAGAGGAGTTGAAACAGTATGAACTAACATGGATGCAGGTGAAAAGTACAGCAGAAGACAGAAGCAAGTGGAGATGTGCAGCTGAAGCCCTATGTTCTACTAGGAACCCAAGGGAACAATAATAATAAAAGGAATACTTCTGAACTCAAAGGAATAGTTATAAACAATAATAATAATAATTCTGACCAGTAAACCTAAAGTACCGATATAAAATGAGCTGTGTTAGACCTCTATTGAGCTTTGCTTTCATCCTATCTGCACCTTGTATATGTATATTCATGCTTCACATAGCCTTATCAGCATCCTTTCATGATATCAACAAAAGTGGACTAAGGCAATAATAACAATAAGAATATTAATCAATTACAATAATAAATCATCTTTTATTGCCTTCCCCTGCATAAATTTCATGATAAAATAATATCATTTCATGATTTGTCTACAATCACAATATCCCCAAGCATAATCATATATATAAATATATGAGCGAAAATGAAATCTAGAATAATAGCCATTCAAATAGTCCATAGCAGTGAAAAGATAAATGACATCTATTGTTTTCTGCATGCATAATTTTCAGATGTATGTGGATAATCTCGATTGTCTTCATCACCTGCCTGTATGCAATGTACATTCGAATTGCAGTTATAAAAAGTAGACTAGTTAGTGTTCAGTTTTTGCCTCGATTTTTACTAGTTAGTAGACAACAGATAGTTTTAATATATGTGTAAAACTTGGGCACTGTGGTAGTAAGTAATTCCATATTAGTTTGTTTATTAGATATATCACACAGTGAAACAGTATTATTTACTGGATGACAAAGTTTCGAAAAATATTAATTGCTCATAATCACATCAATTATGATCACACGACTTTGAAACTTGAGTTTTATAGTTTTCTTTATTCTCTCCGAGTGGTCGTCGTAGGGGTTGTAGAATTTTCCAGATATCCGAGTGGACAGGTGTTGAATCATTCCTATTACACTTATCCAGTCTCAGTTGATTCGATAAACAAAGCTTCTGTAATCAATCTCTCCCTATACCCTGTGACATTAGATTTTAAAACTGTCATCCTATCCCATCCTATTGTATGGTTGTGTGTAAATGCAGGAACTGATACACATAAAAGAAGCCTTGAAACTTAATAATTACCCGGAGAAATTAGTCAGGAAATATGTAAGGAAATGTAAAAATAAAATAAATAATAATAGTAGCGATAGTGATAGTAATAATAATATTAATGAAGACACCAACAATAAGGAATCTAAATCATCAGTACTAATTCCATACAAGTAAGGAACCTTGGAAACCTTACGCAGAGTTCTTAACAAGGCAGGAATAAAAGTGGCTGGCATTCAAACCCACAAACTCAATTCAAAACAAGCTTTGTCAGTTAAGGGATCCTGCCAGTGGAGCCTTTAAGACAAAACAATTTAGTTTATCTAATACCCTATCGGAATGATTGTCGGGTCAAATACATAGGTCAAACTAGTAGAACAGGGACAGTCAGACTAGCCGAACATAAATACCTAGCAAAATCTATATTAGTTGACCCGAATCAGATAAGAAATCTAGAGAATAGTTCAGCTATAGCACTACATGCAGTTACACACAACCACACAATAGCACGGGATGGGATGACAGTTTTAAAATCTAATGTCACAGGCTGGAGGGAGGGAGAGATTGATAACAGAAGCTTTGTTTATCGAATCAACTGCAAATACATGTAATAGGAATGATTCATCACCTGTCCCAGATATCTGGAAAATTCTACTACCCCTAGGAGAAATAGGGGAAAACAAAGAAAGCTATAAAACTCAAGTGTCAAAGTCGTGTGATTACAACTGATATGATTATGAACAATGATGAATTGTGTTCAAAACGTCATCCAGTAAATAATACTGTTTCACTGTGTGATCCATCTAATAAACATACTAATATGGAACAAATAGTTTCACAGTGAGAAATGTTGGTGTGAAGACTAATACTCAGATGACATCGGCTGGTGATTGTGCTAAAATCATAAAGTTGGTGGTACTTAGAATTCATGGAATGGCAACTGAGTCGACTCTCAGTGGCTGGAAGCTTCTGCATTTGAACCCCTGTGGTGGGTGCATACCGTCGACGAGTCCCAAACTGGGACGAAACAGTTGTTGAGTACTTCCTATTTATTCAATGCTTCTCTGACCTTTATCACTCCGTGGTGAAACCGGTATATGTTTACATTCTCATAAACGAAAGTGATTCTTTCGTCACATCAACAATTCCTAGTGAAGAATGTGCATCGGTGACACAGCGGTTAGGACGCTCTCCAACCATACACATAGTCCGGGGTTCACACCCCGGCTGACGTATACCTGATATCAAATGGTCGACCTGCTAAATTTGGGCTACCGATATCACATGCTGAAAATTGCATACTTGCATCAAAATACTGTGTGGAATCAAGCTATAGTAAAATAAAATAAAATAAAGAGTGTTTGTATATATTTTCCTACATCATCAAGCCTTTTGCTTTCATGTTTCCATGAGAAAAATTGACTTCTGTAAATGTGTCCCTCGCTGTATAATTGTAAATTGTAAAAAGTTAGAGCAATGACTTAAAAAGGATTCTATAAATAATAAAATGCATGCCTTTCACATTAATATGCATGTCATTCCCTTGCATACAGAGAATAATACATTTCAGCCTTTGCTAACCCTTAGATTACTTACCCTATTTACGATGCTTTATGTACTTCGTGAAATATTCAGTTACTTCTTGATATTTATGAGTAACTCTTGAATTCCATATTAGATAAGTTTATTTTAATTATGGCACAGTGATGATGCTGTATCAACAACTGGATGACAAGGTTTCGAGCATAAATTATTGCCACTCATATTCATATCAGTTTAGTCACATATTTTCGCAATTTGTCTTACATATATATATTCCCTCTTTCTGTCTCTCCAACTTGCCTTTGTTGTGTGTTGCAGCTCTCCATATCTCCAGAGTAGGCGTTAAGCTGCGTCATTCTGATTGCACGTAACACTGTATCACTGTCGTATAAAGAAATGACGTCAGAGATCTTAAGTAGAATTCTCAGTGACACCGGAATTAGGGTGGCATTTAAACCAACCAACCAACCAACTCTCTGAGAGATAAACTTTGTCAGCTTAAGGATACAATAGATCCATCCAATTAGACAAAATAATATAATTCATCAAATACCATGTCATGAATGTGAGTGGGGTCAATTACATAGGCTGTCAAACCAGTAGATCAGGGTCAAATAGATTATTGGCAGATAAACATTTTGCTAGACATAGAATAATTGACCCTGGTAGGTTAAATAATCTATAAAAACAGAGCTCAGCCATCGCACAACATTCACTTGCATGTAATCACAAAACAGGATTTCTCTGTCTGGATTCAACATAGAACTTGGCACCGAAGTGCAACAGTTCGATTTGCCACGTTCCAAATAGCACACAAAGGTAGACAAGAAAATGAGTGATGAAGAGAATCAATAGAGTTTTGACAAGTGTAAGAGTGAAACAGAATGAGTAATGGTAGAAAGGAATATGAAAGATTACAGAGACTGAATACATCTGCGTAAGCCATTGACAACGATTTTCAGCCATGTCACCTATTGTCTCCAGACATTGATTCTTAGAGTCCCGAGGGCCCCAACCCGGAAGGCTACATCTCCCTACCTGACTCAGTTTAACTGTCAAGGATTTCATGGATTGATGCCATGTTTTTGTTTGGCCACCACTTACTCTTTTCCAACCTGCACCTATATCAGCTAGTAATGCTCGTCGGGGGAGGCGATGGTTAGGCATGCGCAGCGTGTAACCTAGCCATCTCAATCTATGTAACTTTATAGCCTCTTCGAGTGATTTTCCCTCTTTGCCCAACACTCTACGCCTAACGTCAACATTACTTACCTTATTATACCTCCTCCTAACGTGAGAAAGAGATCGTAGACATCTATGATCAAAAACAGTCAACCTTTTCATGTCTTCAACTCGTATTGGCCATGTTTCAGAGCCATAGAGAAGGATGGAGCGAACTGCTGAGTAGTACACAGTCCATTGGTTGATAGCCAGATGTCACGCCTACGACAGAGACGGTCTAAGTTAGCGAAAGCTGCTCGAGCTTTTTGGATCCGTGCTGAAATTTCGTCACCAATCAGTCCGTTAGTGCTAATACAACTTCCCAAATAGGTGAAGTGGTCAACATGTTCTATCACTTCACTCCCTATCACTAAGCTAGTAGTTGACGTAGTCTAGTCATCCCTGTAGCAGCATCTTAAATTTTACAGGGGCGAATCGCATGCCAAACATACGAAGATTGCCGCTCAAGGTGTTCAGAAAACTCTGCATTTTGTCAGCATCCTCCCCTAACAGGACTATGTCATCTGCATATTCTAAGTGCATAAGACTTTTCCCTGGTAACAAGTCGATTCCTAAGTTCAACAAAATAGGATGGGTTGGACAGAACGAGAGTATTAAAAAGTAATACAGTTAGGTGGAGAGACAGAGAGGTTAATCACAGAAACTTTGGTCATCGAGTCAACCCCTCACACGTGCAATCGGATTGGCGCGACGCAACGCCCATGCCGGAGACATGGAAAGTGGTAACACACAACAAAGGCAACCTGGAGAGACCGAAAAAAAGAGAAAATATACATGTAAGACAAATTGCGAAAACGTGTGACTAAATTGATATGATGATGAGTGGCAATAATTTATTCTCGAAACCTTGTCATCCAGGCGATAATACATCAGCGTCACTGTGTGATAATAAAAATAAACTTATCGAATATGGAATTACATTCTACTGCACGCAGTGCCTAAGTTCTACACTTACATAAACCCTTGGATTGGTTGATTCTACTATAGTCATAAAGTGATTACATGTCTCTACGTGACTCGCATAAGAACCTTTATGAATAGATAATACGCTTTACTGACAAGTGCCGATAAGTGCGAAACGCAAGTGCAAGAATTTCTGTCAACTGAATTTTTGTAATAACGATGTGTTGTATTCTTTTTTTCCGCATTCGATGTTGTTGATCATTCCATACAAGATGTTGTTCATCAGATTTTATACAAGTATGTAATGGTATCAAATGTCTAAGTACTTTCTTCGACCTTTTTTTTGCTACATTCTATTTTATTCTTTTTGTGTACAATTACTATTTCAGTATTGATACAATATCTGTGGTGAAAATTCTTCGTGTTTCACGTGTTTTACGTCCATTGAGAGCAATTAATCGTGCAAAAGGCCTGAAAGTAAGTTGTTATACTTTAATTTACCCTACTCTTTGATAATAAATTAAGCGTGTTACACTGAATAAACACCTTTTTCCAAGTGGAACGTAGGGCTTCAACAGGACGTCTCCACTTTTTGCCTCTTTATCTGGCTCCACAATTATCCATAGTCTGTCATATCTTTCTCACACGATCTCCTCCACGTCACCCAATCGTCATTTTCCATTTGAAATCTGGCGCACGATGCTACTCTATTTCCTTCGGGATTTTAATTTGTTGAGCAATAGGTTCTCAGGTGGTTTGTTCTCAGAGTTTCTTAATGCTAATTCTTCCTGGCCATTTGATCTTCAATATAAAGCGAAGTGGGCAGCTGTTGATAAGAGTCGAAAGTGACCTGTTGAAACTGACTTTTTGATCCATCCATAAGAAGTAACTGACTCAACAGTGGTATTGAACATCCGAATTTTGTTTTTTATGCAAACTGATTTCATGGTAGTGATGGCGGTCTGTCTTACCTTAACAAGTCTTCCTTTGACACCGTCATCTGTGCCATCGCCCGTAGTTGAAACTTCTCGTCATGCATATTCATTTTTAAATGTGTATAACCGTAGCTCTGATACCGTATTATTTTCAAATATGCTCCGATCGATTATATAAATATATATATTGACTTTCTCCTACTTTTTAATGTATTTAACCAGTTTCCGAATAATCAAATATGATACATTACTTCTTTTTGAAAGTGGGCACGCAACCTCAACTTTCATACGAGGAGTCCTTATCTCGATTCCTGGGCAACACACTTCTAAATTTCACCTATCTGCTAGTAAGCCTGTAAAAGAAGGTTGATGGGTATGTGGCTGGTAACCTATCCCGTGAAAATAAATAACACTATTGGTAACAAAATTTGAAAAAACTTGAGGCCCTATATTCTCCTCAAAACACAGTTGGTTTCAGTATTATAATACTGTCTAGCAATCACATCCCCATTTACAATTTGGTCATTTGAATATTAAATGGAGGATTTCACCATGAGCTGACATCAGTTAGAGAACCCCTGGAAAACCTGCAAGGAGTACTGGACAGCTATTTCGTCCTGGTTTGGGGCTCTTCAGCAGCACCCCCACAGGGGTTTGAACCCAGGACCTTCTGGTTACAAGGCGAGCTCGTAGACCAATGAGCCACTGGGACCCGATCTAATGGCCAGTCCATGAATTCTAACTTCTACCAATTCATGACATAGCGCGACCATTTCGCAATGTCTTCTTCTTCGATGAGTTACTGCCTCATCTTCGACTTGCTGTACCCTGCTGGTCACGGCTTCCCACTAGAAGCCCAGGTCACTGCCTGAATAGGGCCAGTCACCAGCGAGCAGTGCGTTATCTAACTGATGCCAGCTCATGATGAAATCCTCCATGCAATCAAACAAAATCCCTACATAATCAATACTTGAAAATTTGAATATTACTCAAAGTAGTAATCAGTAGTATTCTTTGTTATTTACTATTCTTATTTAAAAATATTGATGCTATGAAACGTTTTTGTATGTATTCATCCAATTAATCTTTGTCATAAATTTCATAAGCCAAGTAAAAAGTTAGATGATTAGTTCATCATATTTTGACACACTTTGAAATCAGAGCAAATAAATTCATTGGAGGAAAGACTCTTTTCTGACGATATTTCATCCATTTAGCTACACGGTAGCAATTATGTATAATTAAAATTTGTGTGTGTGAGTGTGTGTGTGTGTATTTGTACAGTCACTCACTCTGTCAAGCGAAATAACGAAAACTCACGTTAGAATATTGTTCACATTATCAAATTATTTTGGATTAGTGAAGATTGATCACAGTGAAACTAAAGATTTGAAAATTACTCAGCTAAGAATGTAGAGATTGCGAAATATGAGAGAGAAAAGAAACACATTGTTTAAAAAAAATAGATATAAGTATAAAACTTGGGCACTGCCGTGGTAGAGTGTAACTCCATTATGGATAAGATTTTATTTTGATAAATCACACAGTGTTGTGTTATACAGTAATATTTACTGATGATCACGTTTCAAGCACAAACTATTGCCACTCATAATCATATCAAGTTACTCGCATGACTTTTGGCTTCATTTATATACATGTGTGGAATCAATTAGATATTGGAATAAAAATCAAGGAGAAGTAGCTATGTTAGATTGTAAAATAAAGCGAATAGAAGAAGGTAAACTACACACTAGCGTTTATAAAAAACCAACGCATTCATCTAATAGATATTTAAATTTCACTTCATCTCATCCATTAACTGTTAAGGCAGACTTAGTTAAGTGTTTAACAAACCGAGCAGTAGCTCTAAGTAGCACAAGAAAAGACCTAAATGATGAAATAAAACACATAGAAGAGGCGTTGGTGTTGAATAACTATCCCATAAAATTCATTAGGAAGATCGAAAAAAGTCAAAAGCCAAATAAAAATAATTATGAAACTAGTGATGATAACACAAATAAGAGAGAATATAAGTCATCTACTGTTATACCACATAAGGAGGGGACATCTGAGACCCTACGTAGGATTCTAAATAAAGCAGGAATTAGGGTGGCAGTCAAACCTACAAACTCACTCAGGGCAAGCTCTGTAGGCTAAAAGACCCGGTGGACCCAATTAAACAAAATAATATAATTTACAAAATACCGTGCAATGACTGTGAGTTAGGTCAACTACTTACATAGGTCAAACTAGTAGATCGGGGGTAATGAGACTGTAGGAACATAAGAATTTAGCCAAAGTAATTATGGTTGACCCCGAGAAAATAAGTAATTCAGAAAAAAGCTCAGCAATTTCACTACATGCATTAACACATAACCACACAGTAGGGTGGGAGAGGGTTAAGATTCTAAGAAGTAATCTATGTAGGTGGAGAGAGAGATTGATTACTTAATCCTGGTTCATTGAGTCTACACCCAACACATGCAATAGGAATGACTCAAAGCAAATACCAGAAATATGGAAGATATTATAACCATCAGTCAGTCAAGTCAGAGAAGGATATTAAATAATCTTAAAATTTTATTCCAATTCAAGCACACCACAACATTCTAAAAAATTGCTTATTATGCCTATAAAAACACTCGTCGTATTTCCCATCTGATTGTATGTGATCAATAACACTCATATTATTATTATTTCTGAATATACATTATCCTATATTGGTTTTATTTAAATATCTAGTCAATTCCACACATGTATATAAATGAAGGAAAAAGTTGTGTGAGAAACTTGATATGATTATGAGCAGTAGTTTGTGCTCAAAACATGGTCATCAGTTGATATTACTGTGTAACACTGTGTGATTTATCAAAATAAAATCTTATCCATAATGGAGTTTAAAAAAAAGAGTTGGGTGATAATAGAAGCAACATAAAGTCAAGTAACCGAATATGTTATGTGGTAGACGAAGAGAATAAACTTTTGGTCAAATGAAGAATGCTAATGCTAATAGTTATAATTATCAAGTACGGCTTTCCAGAGATTTGATTGTTTGCAGGTTTCGTCATTGGTGGATATCAGTTAGAGGAACATTGGAAAACAAACTGGAAGTTTGGAACTTTTCGGCGGTACACGCTCACTGGAGTTAGAACACAGGACCTTCCGGTTAAGTAGCGGGCCTGTGAACCATTTAGCCACTGAAATTGAATCCACTGTGACCAATGAATTCCAAATTCTGTCAATTCGGGATATGTACAGCACAACTACCATCTAGTGTCATAGGTGAGTAACTATTCTCTTACGTGACTTGGCAGAAGTTGGAATTCGTGGGTCGTTGGGTCGGGTTCCAGGGTCTTTAATGGTCTCACCTTGTAACCGGAAGGTCGTGTGTCCAAATCCCAGCCGGTGCGTGCTGATGAAGAGTCCCATAATAAAACGAAACAGCTGTTCAGTACTCCCAGTTGATCTTCCAATAGTTCTCTAACTAGTGTCAGCTTGTGACCAATCATGTGACCAACTAAATCCTTGCAAATCAATACGATTAGTACTCAAATTTCTCCTCATACCACTGAATATAACTGAGACTTCCCGCTTTGAAACTTACATCTTTTACTTAATTATCTTTTCAAATTTCATCTTAATCAACTGAATACTACTCATATACTTGTGCGTCGCATTATAGTTTCTGATATAATTTTCATCATTTTCGTCTACTGGCTATTTGTATTCTAATATTCATGTTATCATAAGTGTACAACCTGAAGAAGAATTTACTGAAAACATTTATTGGCTTAGTAGACATTTTTGTCCTGATTATACTACATAGACATTCAGACTACCAAATTTCTTAATGCTAGCAGAATCCTACAACTATGAACCCTACATTTAATTAGTATTTAACTGGTGGATGGTGACTAGCAGCGGAATCCAGGATGCGCATTTCGTCCTATTTGGGACTCGTCATCTGTGGATGTACCTGCATTCCCCAGTCAGTGAGTGATGATGTTCCCACCGAGGCTCGAACCCAGTGCCCATAGTTTCAAACGTCAGAGCGTTATTCACTAGACCACTTGGGCTACGACAGCTAACCACCTCTTGTACAACAGGTCATATTAATTATGTAATTGAATTTTAGATTTTCCCGTCGATTGATTGGACCCAAGTGCTCGGTCTCAGGTTGAGAGACTGAGAAATGCAGGTACATCCAGTTAGTTGACGAGTCCCAAACAGGACGAAATGCGCATCCTGGTGGATTCCAATGCTAGTCACCATCCATAAATCAAATTAAATTCTAATTAAATGCCCAGACATCATCGAAGCATCTGCACAAGAAGCCGATATGTCAACCTGAGACACCGAGCAAGCACTTCGGTCCAATCAATCGACGGGAAAATCTAAAATTCAATTAAAATATATGCCCTACATTTATGGAAGAAATAGATGACTCCAAAACTAGGATGAAACAGCAGCTGTCCAGTACTCCAGTGCTGGTTTTCACTGGTTCTCTAACTGATATCAGTCCGTGACCAACTCGTAAAAACA